AGATTTTATTTATTTATTTGACAGAGAGAGACACAGCAAGAGAGGGAACACAAGCAGGGGGAGTGGGAGAGGGAGAAGCAGACTTCCCACCGAGCAGGGAGCCCGATGTGGGACTCGATCCCAGGACCCCGGGATCACGACCTGAGCCGAAGGCAGACGCTTAACGACTGAGCCACCCGGGCACCCCTTGCCATCCTATTTTTGTAGGAACCCCCTTCTTCAAAGGAAAGCTTCACTAGAAGGCCATTCACTGTGCTAATTGTGGAGTTGCTTTGTTAAAGCAGAGGTGGGAGGCTCAGAGTGCTGTCAGCTGTGCCCCTTCCATTTGAATGTTGCATGTTTCTCACACTTGACAAGCACGAGGGTAAGAATATCTTAGGTGATCCTCAAGAATAATAAGGGATGGAAGTGGGCTTTCTTTGGCAGATATAAAGCCTTATCATAAACTACCATAATTAAGACATAGTAGTATTGAAGTAGTGATAATTAGATTAATGAAACAAAACAGGAGAAAAAGAGCCACTCATATAGGAAATTTAATACATGACTGAGGTAGCATTAAATCCAGGATGGTCTGGGACAATTATCTGTGTAAAAAAAAAAAAATGTAACAGATCCTTACAAAGACTACACAAAAACTATTTCCAGATGGATTAAGGAATATGAAAGGCAAATTTTTAAGCTACTAGAAGAAGATACAGAATACTTTTATGACTTGGACTAGGGAAGGATATTTTAAAATGAGACAGAGAAAGTTGAACTATGAAGAAGAGATAAGTTATTCTTTAGTTAAAATTTAGAACTTTGTGCTTCTTAAAACAAAACAAAACAAAACAAAAAACCATGAAAACAAAAAAGGAAGCCAGGGCCAGAGAGACAACATGTTACTAGCAAATGAATATGGCCCAGAATATGTAAAGAAATAGTGTCAATCAGTAAAAGGGGTAAAAAAAGGAACAAAAGTAGAGGAAAAGAAGAGGAGACATAAATGGCAGAAGTAAAAATCAAAACCACAATACACGTGTACTCCATGCTCACTAGACTGACCAGAGTTTGGTCTGCCACTTCCAAGTGCTGGGAGCAGTGAGAGCACTGGGCATCTCTGCACTGCTGTAATAACATAGATGGATCAACCATTTTGGTCAGCAGCCTGGCAGTGTGCTGCAACTTTGAAACTGTGGGCATCCTAGGATATGCCGTTCTTAACATGTGTACCTTGGAGAAAGTTTTACATGTGTGAAGAAGGTTGTCTGAAACTGCGGAGCAGCACTGTTTGTAGTAGTGACAAAGAACTGGAAGGAACTTCAACAACCATCAGTCACAGTTTTAAAGATCATGGTATAATCATGCAGTGGAATTCCACATAGCAACAGGGATAAACCTCAAAAACAAAAAGCCTTAAGGAGAATAGCAAGCTAAAAGATAGGAACGATATGGAGATGCTATAAAATTTAAATCTATATAAATTAAAAATGTATACGTATGTATGCCTAAATAATGGAATACATAGTAAAAATACAAAGGGGGCATGAGAAGGAAACATAGGGTGTTTGAAGTGTGTTTGTCATGTTTATTTTCTTTAGGTAGTGGGTGCGTGATTGATTATTCACTTTTCTATGCAAAATTTTTATTTTTTCAAGTAAAATCCTACCTCTGGTCATAAGGTTGTTTCTAGTGGGTAAATCTTAACTTGCTTTTGTACAATTTATAGGAACATTTCTATTAACATTTCTTTACTATGTATTTAATAAATGTTATGTTGGAAATGAAGGAAATTACTTCCTTAGAGCAGTGATTCCTAAACTTGAGCGTGCATCAGAATCACCTGATGGACTTGTTAGAACAGACTGCTGGGCCCCACCTTTGGAATGATTTAGTAGGTCTGCAATGAGTCCTGAGAGTTTGCCGTTCTGTAACTTGACAGGTGCTCCTCATACAGTCCAGGTCCTACATTTCGAGGACCTCTGTCTTTAAGGGTTTCTGTAGTTAAAATGACACTGCTGATGAGAGCTAGGATCCTTTATCCCCATCACTCTCCTCCAGCTAACATGCTCAACCCAGTGGGTCTTTCAGCAGTAGGGGGCAAAGGTGGGATGCATCCAACAGTGGTATTCTGAGACTGTCCTATAAACCTGGCATGTACAAGCACTTGACAGAGATGCCCAAGAGGTCGACTTTACTCTAGTGGCAGAGCTATCTGTGTAAAATAAACTTACAAATAGAATTAATCACTGACATCTTGGTGTAAATTGTCATTGGCAGTATTTCTCTTTCCTTCATATCTTCTGGAAATCTGTTACATAAAACGGCGAATGCCTCTGTGTTTGTTAGAGGTTTATAATCTTTGTCAAAATAGTTTTTTGTACGTTGATTTGTTTCTTCAGTGACTTATGTTATAATCCTGGAGATGCTGTTTTTAGATGGTTTTCATGGGCTTTACTATACCTTCCTCTCTAACTTTTCATTTCTGTGTCCCTCATTTATCTAGTTACTAATGATAAGCATTTACTTATCTTTAAATTAGCATTTAAGTATCCACCTTCCACATTAAAACTTGAGATTCACTTTTTTAACAAGAGGCAGTCTTACCAGTAGCTTGCGTATTAAGGAGCCCTTTGGCAGCGACACATCAGCACTGCTGCTGACTCTGGTATGTACTGGATTTTTCATTTCTTTTTCTTTTTCTTTTTGTTTTTTTTTTTTCTGTTTTTAATGGCAGGAGCCACTAAACTGTCAATCCAATTTTAAACCTTCATTTCAAAGAGCAAAAACCTATTGTTCTTACTTAAAAATCAGATTACAGAATATGAATGCCCTTTAAATCAAGTGGATCTCATTCAGAGTCTCATTAAAGACATAACTCTACCTTTTTCCGGGACAAAAATAGCCTAGAGGTATACTCTGTAATATATGCTGAGTGTTTCTGGCACCTTCCCCTTCATCAGCCACATTTTGAGGTAAACAGTAATTTCTTTTAAATTATTCTAAAATAAGTAGACCAAAATAATTTCACATTGCCAATAAGAATATTTGAAATAGGGGCGCCTGGGTGGCTCAGTCGTTAAGCGTCTGCCTTCGGCTCAGGTCACGATCCCAGGGTCCTGGGATCGCGTCCCGCATCGGGCTCCAGCCCCGCATCGGGCTCCAGCCCCGCATCGGGCTCCCTGCTCACTGGGGAGCCTGCTTCTCCCTCTCCCACTCCCCCTGCTTGTGTTCCCTCTCTCACGGTCTCTCTGTGTCAAATAAATAAATCTTTAAAAAAAAAAAAAGAATATTTGAAATACAAATTATGTCCAGATTCTACAGCCATATCCTAAATCTGTATTGAGCCACGAAATAATTACTAATGATAATTTAAAGCCATCACTATTAGCTGAACATTTTAACCACCCAGGACATGGAGCCAAACTTCACAAGTTTTCTTTTTCACTGATTTTTAAAGTAATACAAATCTCACAGCAGTACTTAACTACATTTAAATAGATAACCATAATGTTTGGAAATGTTGTTACTTAATAGTGAAATGTAAAAATAAAAGCCATGTACCATTGTGGACGTAAGTGGTTCTTTCTGCTACAGTAAGAATGGTTAATAATAGGGGCTCCTGGGTGGCTCAGTCGATTAAGCGTCTGCCTTCGGCTCAGGTCATGATCTCAGGGTCCTGGGATCAAGCCCTGCATCGGGCTCCTTACTCAGCTGGGAGTCACCTTCTCCCTCTGTGCTCTATCCCTCCCTCAAAAAAAAAAAATGGTTATGATAATGTCCAGAAAAATATGATAACAAACTAAACACATTTCTCCTCAGCAAGTTCTAGTGGAAGATACACAGAAAACATTGCTGAAGAGTCAAAGAAACAAATAACACAGTAATGTTTGAAACTAGAGATGAGCTTCAAAGGACTGCATTCTGCCTAATTGGTTTCATTTATGGAATTCCATGAAAAACTGATTTTTTATGAACCAATAAAGAAATCTGTTCCAGAGAAGACATATTTTCAGGAATAAATTATTCTTTAAAACACATGATGTTTTATGGAAACTGAAAACATTACTTCTGACTGAATAGCTACTTTGATTAGAATTTACAAAGGATTTAGGGATGAGTGATACATTTGAAATTTTTTGCTCAGTCATTCAAGGGAAAGTGATTGAAATAATGAAGTTGAAATGAGCACAGAGTACCGCAGGATGTTATTGTTAATTTTATAAAAATAAAACATTTTAATTATAATAAGATTGTGACAAAAGTTTGTGATGAAAAAGAAAATAAAAAGAATAATAATGACATTATTTTGTGCCATCAAGAAGTTACTGGTTATCTTGTGGCTTAGTTCTTTAAAAAAAAGCTCTAAAACTTAAAGATGTTTCTTGCTTTTCTTTTACCAGACAAACAAACAAAAACAAAACTGTGTGGTTAGTGGCTATCTTGGTACCTAACGGATAGTTGTAAAAAACAGTCATGATTATTTTTTTATCTGTGGGTGGTTTTTAATATTGAGTGGGAAAAGAGTCTTATTTTTTGGAAGAAACTTGTGCAGGGAGCGAATGTTTTGAGAATGAATTTAAGTTTTATGTGGTTAAGAATATTTCTAATTATCCCAGGTCCTTAGGACAGTGTCTGACCCATGGTCAGCACTTAATATATACTGGAATTAATTTAATCTTTGCAAAACATGATTTAAGTATGTCATGTTTAAAAACTTGAGTGTGGGGGTGCCTGGCTGAGTCAACTGGTAGAACATGTGGCTCTTGATCTCTGGTTCATGAGTTTGAGCCCCACATTGGAAGTAGAGTTGCCTTAAAAAATTAAAAAAAAGTAAATGTGACCTCACCTCATGCACAAAAATTGACTCAAAATAGATCAGCGATATAGGAGCTAAAACCATAAAACTCTTAGAAGAAAATGTAGAGGTAATTTTTCATGACCTTGGATTTGGCAGTGTATTTTTAGATATGACACCAGAAGCATAAGCAACAAAAGAAAAAAGTAGATAAATTGGACATCTTCAAAATTAAAAATTTTCATGCATCAAAGGACATTATCAAGAAAGTGAAAGAGACAGAATGGAAGAAAATACTTGTAAATCATACATCTGATGAAGTTTAATATCCAGAATATATGAACTCCTAAAACAGGAAGAAAAAGACCAACAACCCAGTTAAAAATCCGCTAAGGATGTGAGTAAACGTTTCTCCAAGGAAGATCTAAAGATAGCTAATAAGCTCATGAAGAGATGCTCAGTATCCTTAGTCATTAGGGAAATGCATATCAAAATCACAATGAGATAACATTACACTCCCAGGATATCTATAATTTAAAACACCCCTCTTTGCCCCTCCCCCCCACAAGAAATCACAGGTGTTGCCAAGGATGTGGAGAAATTGAAATGTGTGCCTTGCTGGTGGGCTCATAGCATGCTGTAGCTGCTGCGGGAAACAGTTCAGTGGTTCCTCAGCACCGCGTGGAATCTGCATATGACCAGCAATTCTACTCCTTGACATACACTCAAAGAAATTGGAGCAGGGGGCCAAAGAGATTGTTATTTTTGTATGCCAGTGTTGATAGCATTTCTCACAGTAGCCAAAAGGTGGAAACAATGTGAGCGTCCATCAGCAGATGAATGGATAAACAAAATGTGCTACTCACAAACAGTGGCATATCATTCAGCCACAGAAAAGAATGTAGTTCTGATAGATACTGTAACGTGGATGAACCTGGGAGACATGGTGCTAAGTAAACCAGTCACAAGGGACAAACACTGTATGATTGCACTTACATGAAACATTGAGGATAAGCAAATTCAAGTGACAGAAGTATATAAGATGTTACCAGGACCTGGAGGGAGGCAAGAAATAGGTAATTACTTCTTTTATGGTTAGAGAATGTTTGTTTGGGCTCTGAGAGGGCTTTGCAAATAGATACTGGAGTTCAAAAATCAGTGTGTTTTACTGTCTTACAAAAGAAGAGATTCATGGGGTTAGGGGATATGTTAAGCATATTGAATTGCAACTCTTGATGAAGTTGCACAAAAAATATTTTGATGGAAGAGTTGAGGAAGAAAATTAGCTACTTCTCAGGAGAAAGTCGGGCATGATTGGTAGAAAGAAGTCAAAATTTAGTGTTGATGTGATTCAGAACTGCAACCAATAATGCTTGTCTTCTATTGGGACTTTTGCTTCTGGGTGTTAATGGCTATTGAAATAGCTACCTAAGAATACCACTGTATCATTATGATTTTTATGAAAGATTAGATATATTCTATTATCTTTTTCTTACTAGAAATATAGAAATTTTGGCAAATCATACGAGTATGAAAATGTCCATTTAGAATTTTAAAGCATTTATCTTTAGTTTTTGTATATGGTTAATCATAAGTAATATGTGATCAATGTAATCTATATAGTTTATTAAGGGTGTACAGTTTAAAAATGTTTATAGCCTGTCCATTTGGAGGATTTGATCCTTTAAAAAATATTTTGCTGGATAATATATCTTTAAAGTTGTGTCTTTCCTGTATTTTAGGCTGCTGGTCTTGGGCGTATGAAGCCAAACACACTTGTCCTCGGATTTAAGAAAGATTGGTTGCAAGCAGATATGAGGGATGTGGATATGTACATAAACATATTTCAGTAAGTATCCTTTTAACACAGTAACTTGGCTCAGAAAATAAAAACTTGAACTGGTTTTTTGAAGCCTTCACTTGTTTGTAAAGGCTGTTTCTCATATTAGTCTCTTCTAGTAGAAGCGTAAGAATGAAAAAGAATCAGATGGGGTTATCTGGTTTTCAATTGATGAGCTATTAACAAAAATTTTTTATTGATCTTTCTGTGTCTCTTCATACATTCAAACATTCCACACACATATACAAATGAACACACACGTACATACTCTGGCTTCCCATTTAAGTTAGGAAGCTTTCTTATATCCTTATAGCTATTGCTGAGTGGATTTCCCCAGTGTTGTCAGACTTGTCGCCTTCTGTTACATCATTATAATATCTGGAGCTGAGAAAAGCATATCATCACTGATACCACCCTCAGAAGTTTCGGTTTGGAAACTTGGAAACTGATTTTGCAGTTAATTGTTTGATGTATGCATTAGCTCATCTACATTTCTTTTTTTTAGTGTGCTTACATGCTTTGCTTTTCTACCCTCTTGCGTGTAAGTTCTGAGTCTGCTATTCACTTCTTAGCGGTATTTCAAATGAATGCTATTTATCAGCATAGTTTTGTTTTACATGACTTCAGCTGCCTTTGTATGGATTGTCTAATGCATTCTTTTTATTTTTTTTGTTACTTTGTCTTCTTATTTCTCTTTCTGATTTTAGTCTGTTTATGTTACAGTTGATTTTTTATGAATCTACCTGTTTAATCCACAAATGCTTAAGTTTTTTATTTTAATTCCAATATAGTTAACATACAGTGTTACATTAGTTTCAGGTGTACCATATAGTAATTCAACAATTCTCTACATCACTCATGCTCATCGTGATAAGGTACTCCTTCATCCCCATCACCTCTTTCTCCCATCCCCCTCACGACTCCCCTCTGGTAACCCTCTATTCTCAATAGCTAAGAGTCCATCATACCACCATTCTTTTTTTAAGTTATCTCTCCACCCAACGTGGGGCTCGAACCTACAGCCCGGAGATCAAGAGTCACATGCTCTACCCACTGAGCCAGCCAGGTGCCCCACATCACCATTCTTGATTGAAGAATAGTTTTTTCTTATTACAACTGCTGGTAAAACAGAACTGTTCATTCGTTCTTACAAAGTATTCCTTTATGTACGAACAATTGTCCTTTTTAAAAAAAAAAAAAAAAAATTTGTGTTTGGCAAAGTAGCTCTTATGACCAGATTCAAATCTTATTTCTCTGAAGTTTGACCTGATTACCCTTAACTCACAAGAGTTATTTCCCTTACTGGAACTCTTGTTGGAACCATAATTACTTACCTGTATCACATAGGATAGTTTTGTTTTCATAGCTACCTTGAAATAACTTTGAAGGAGTAACCAGATGTCATACTTTCCTTTTTAAAACATCTCTTTATATTGATTAGTAAAGTATACAATGAATAAATTTTCCCAAGTAATTCTTAAATGCTTTTAGTAAAATTAAGGCTCTGCTGGTTCTTCAGGTGCTGCAACTGCTCTTTGGCTTTGGGGTTATTACTTTTTTGTAAGCATGATTTCGTCCTGCTTTTCTAATCTGACCTGTGTACTTTGTATATATGGGGATTTGGAAAGGAAGGACAGTGTAAAAAAGATTAAATCATGTGGGCCATCCTCCATGGGCTGTGCTTTTTCTTTCTCAAGATGAAAGACCAGTGAGATGGAATAATTACCATAGAAAATAGAAAAAGTGACATTTTTATAAATAATTTTTACACTATTAGTTGTAGTTGCTCATAGGGAAACACTGGAAGAAAGGGGTCTTTCTGACTCTGACCTTGTAGGAACTGACGTGCATGTTTGAGAGTCAAGTGTTACTCTCAGTATTATACAGCAGGCAGCAATTAAACGATAGGTAAAATAATGCTCTCGGGTTTCCAGGGTCGTGGAGATTGATGGCAGTTTTAAAACAATGATATTGCTTATTCTTTTATCTCGTAACACTTTAGTTTTGGTTGTGATTATAAATATTTTGAACAATTGAGGTTTACTTTATTTACTGTGCCTAGTGATAGCATGGAAGGTCTGAAACTCCAAATCAGTTTTTATAGCTTAGAGAAATTAAATAGCTTATAGAAATCCCTATAGTTGATAGCAAAAACATTTAGCAATTTTAATCCAAAGTAAACTCAGGAATCTATATTCCCTGGCTTTTCTTGAATCAAATCGATTTTAATTCACTTGTGATTTATTAACTATTTTTTAAATACTAGTAGTTATTCCTCGCTAGTGTTAGGTCTTTCAATATACAGCTGAGGTAGGTTAATATGTCCATTAATTTCTTTTTCCAATGAACCTCTTTAGACCTTAGTTAATTCATTATAGGAATGAGGCCAAAACTGTCTCCCCATGATTTAAAAAAGACAAAACACCAATAAAAGACCTGTTACAATGATACATGTTTTTGTGTGTGTCAATAGGAACCAAAATTTGATTTTTTTTTCAGCTTTTAGCCTTTTCTTTTTGTTATATATAACTATAGATTATGTATCACTTTTTTGTATATAATGAATATTCGTGGCTAGAACAAGTAAAAATAATAATGAAAGATAAAAGTTAAGCCTGTTGCACTCTGGGGAACAACCTGAAGTTTAGGAATTTGTAATTCTTGCAGTAGATTTGAGAAGATCTTGGATCTACATGATTCATGGTCTCAACAAAGTTTCCAGCATTGAAGTGTGGTTTTAGAGTTGTCTTTGAGGTTTTAATGTATTTTGTGTGTGTTATAGGATGTCCCATGTGTGTTTAAAAAACTTGAAAGGATACATGAATAATACCTGCAAATGCGTATAAAATCTTTGGACTACTTATTAAACCGTTTCTGTAAAAATGTAAGAATTGCTTTAAAATACACTGGCGGGCGCCTAGGTGGCTCAGTTGGTTAAGCGACTGCCTCCGGCTCAGGTCATGATCCTGGAGTCCCGGGATGGAGTCCTGGGATCAAGTCCCGCATCGGGCTCCCTGCTTGGCAGGGAGTCTGCTTCTCCCTCTGACCCTCCTCCCTCTCATGCTCTCTGTCTCTCATTCTCTCTCTCTCAAATAAATAAATAAAATCTTAAAAAAAAAAAAAATACACTGGCTCAAGAATAAAAAAAAAAATACACTGACTCCTTTCAGAAGTGATCCCTTTATACTGTCCAACCTGTTCACATTCCTAGTACAATGTCTTTTCTTTGTCTTCATGTATTTTGACTTTAAGGGTATAAGCCTAAATAAAGTATGGTGGGAAACTGACATTATTTTTCTATAATTTTAGTTTGTTTCTGATAGGATGTGATATGAGTACAGACACTGTTTTTAAACGGCTGGTGTAGGTAGAGTATCAATACTATAAAGATCTACATTTAGGAGGTTTTTAAGAGTATTACAGAAAAAAGGTAAGGGAATGATACAGGATTTGAAACCGACATCAGATAGGCCTCACTGTATTTTTAAAAGCATATTTTAAGAATCAGACATGTAAAGCTGAAAGAGAAATCATCTCTTATGCCGTCATTTTATAGAGGAAGACACAAAAGTTTTTGTGATTTTTTTTTTTTACTTTTTTCCCCCTCTTATAGTGACGCCTTTGACATACAATATGGAGTAGTGGTTATCCGCCTAAAAGAGGGTCTGGATATATCTCATCTTCAAGGACAAGGTAAATCTTGCTTGAATAAGTTTTTTACTTTAAAAATAGAAGTGACTTTATTAGAAAATTATATGTCATTCTCACATATTCTTCAGTAACTTTAACATTCACCGTCAGTTCAGTCCTGTCCTTACTGTGTGGCACATGAAGATCAGATCTATTTGGCTCCACCAGTTTGTACCAACCTGGATGATGGCTGGTGATTACTAATGGAGAGAATAAAATTCAGTCTAAATCATCTAAAGCTTAAGAGAAACAAGCATTAGTTTTGGTTTTAGATTGGCCAAATTTGTAAAAACACATGATAAATAAAATGTTAATGACTGCTAAATCATCAGACATTTTCATGTTCACGAAGGTCATGCTTTTTTACACAGAGTTGTACTAATAATGAAAAACTAAACTTGGGGAACCTGGGTGGCTCAGTTGGTTAAGCGACTGCCTTCGGCTCAGGTCATGATCCCGGAGTCCCGGGATCGAGTTCCGCATCCGGCTCCCTGCTCGGCAGGGAGCCTGCTTCTCCCTCTGACCCTCCCCCCTCATGTACTCTCTCTCATTCTCGCTCTCTCAAATAAATAAATAAATCTTTAAAAAAAAAAAACAAAAACTAGGTGATAGCATTTACTCTGTCTAGAGATAAGACCTTATGAATTATGAATCATTTTTTTAACTTTTTCATTTTGAAATAATTATAGATTCATAAGATGTTAGAAATAATAGACAGGTCCTATGTACCCTTCATCCATTTCTCCCAATGGTAACATCTTGCATATCTATCGTTGTATGTCATAACCAGGAAATTGACATCGGGACAATTTACCTACCTTATTCAGATTTCAGTAGTTTTACTTACACTTGTGTGTGCATGTGTGCATGAACATGTGTATAGTTCTCTGCCATGTAACACATGTGGTTGATTCATGTAACCACCACATTTAAGATACAGAACTGTTCGATCACCACAAAGATCTCCCTTGTGCTACCCCTTTAAGCCCCCAGAGGCTTTGTCTTTCCCCCGTCATTAATCCCTGACACTAATCTCTTCTCCAACTATGTAATTTTTAAAGCATTTAAAAAAAAATGTTTTTAGATGAAGCTTAAAATCTAATTAAGGTGTACTGTTTACTTTTGCCCATCTTAATAAAAACTGGAAAATTCCATACCCTCTAATGATTTTCTAGTAGTTTAACAAATATTATAAGCTGAAGAAAATTGCATACCTAATATTTTACCCTTATCAATTAATTAACTAAATCATCAAAAATAGCTAAGCCTAAATAGCTGAGAGGCACATCATGAACTTTTGTCATCTGTTTATGTATTTAAACAGTTGTAATCCTCCCCCTCCTCCCACCATTTTAAGGGTATTGTGCAGTTTTGAAAGGAACGCTTTGAAGTCTTTATCCATGTAACACAAAAGTATGGCTTGCTGAAAATGCATTTTCTTCCTCTGGAGTAGGCCTTGCAAAACACTGTTTCAGTTCTCTCTTGCACTACCAGTGACTGAGGTTTAGGGTACCTCTTAAGACTGCATAATTAGTAGTGTTCCCTTTCACTCTCAAAAGTATCACAGTTTGACTAATAAATTATATATATAGTTCTGTAATTTACTGAGATTTGAATGTGACCAGAACTTTAAGAAAGTATTTTCATCTGTTTATAATCATTATGACAACTGTTTTGGAGGTCTTACTATTCATCATCAGGATTTGGAGACAGGAATTTGGTTCAGCACAGGATTAAGAGCAGAGGCTTTGGAGTAAGATCTCCTTTGAAAATCCCACCTTTTTCTCTTAGTACAGTAGTCGTTCAGCCTGGGCGTATCTGTCAACTTCCAAGCCTCTGTTTCCTCATCTCTTCAGACATGATCATGGGCACCTGGCTGGCTCAGTCAGAAGAGCGTGCAACTCTTGATATTGTGGTCATGAGTTCGAGCCCTACATTGGGTGTAGAGATTACTTAAATAAAACTTAAAAAAAAACAAACAAATTATACTGACTTCATAAGGGTTGTTGTAAAGACACAGCTTGTGAAGTTCTTAGCATAGTGTTGGTACTTCTTGTAATGTTGTTTCTCTTGATCTTTCTCATGATACACACAAATCAGCGATGAGGATTATGTGTGGATGGTCCGTTTTCATACGTGTTTGTCTTTGCGATGCATGTTTTCATGGTGGAAGTTAACTGTTTACTAACTCCTTCCCACAAGATAGAAAATGGGAAAAGTACTTTAAAAATGAAGAAATGGGGGCGCCTGGGTGGCTCAGTCGGTTAAGTATCTGCCTTCGGCTCGGGTTGTGATCACAGGGTTCTGGGATTGAGCCCCACATTGGGCTCCCCGCTCAGCAGGGAGCCTGCTTCTCCCACTCCCTCTGCAACTCCCCCTACTTGTGTGCTCTCTCTGTCAGAAAAATAAATAAAATCTTTTAAAAAAATAAAAATAAAATAAAAATGAAGAAATGGTGGTTTTACCATGAGCTTAATCCTCTGGCTTCAGCTCTCTAGTCCGGAGTATAATTTTTCAGTGTTGTTTGTCACCTTACATGTATGTGAACATTTCTCACATTTTACAGCTCTTACATGTGTAAATGACTTTGAGAGTAGAGTTCATTCACATTTCATACATCATTCTTTTGTCTACCACATTCGTAAGTTCCTTGAATCTCACTCATTACAAATTCCCCAGCACCTGATTCAAATGTCTGATGCTTAGCTATGCCTCAAGATATTTGAGTGAATAGTCCTTTCAAAACAGATGATCACATATATTCACATAAGAAATCATTTTTTGTAAACTTAACTATTTCATAATAAACTTTGTTGTGAATTGTCATTTAATTAATATTATACCATGTTGTTTTCATGAATGGTTAAAACAAGATTTTAGATAACATCTTGATTACTTTTCATGTCCACAGAAGAATTATTGTCATCACAAGAGAAATCTCCTGGTGTCAAGGATGTGGTACTAAGTATGGAGTATAGTAAAAAATCGGATTTAGATACTTCAAAACCATCTGATGAGAAAGCTGTTACACACAAAGGTAATTTTTATTCAGACAACAGATGTTATTCATGGTAATGTTTAATTTTGGGAGAAATGAGTTTTATTATATAACATGTCTTAATAAGTAGCCCCTTCTCTAATTAGTACTGCTCATTTCTAGTTGATAAGGTAAAATGGATGGCTGCAAAATGACTAGCTATTTTTCAGGTATTAAAGTAGATTGTAGAACAGAAAACATGCCAATTAATTACACCCTCATATGTTCTTGTATGTTTTATTTATTCTTTGAACAATTTTGCTTGAAGCATAGGTTAAATCTGAACTTGGAAGGAAATGTGGTAATTTGAGAGTAATGTAGCAGAGCATAAGATAACCCTGAAAGGAATGAAATTGATAAAAATAATCTACCTAATTTTTCTATAACTCAAGATATTTAAATACCGGGGATTTTATTTATGTGCTAAGAAATTCAGAATATTTTTTTTACATCTACTGCACCTGGAGTTGTTGAGGTAAAACCATGTAATAAAAAATCAAATGCAATTTTATTCCACATTCTAGTCTCTTGAAGGAATGAGCTGTTGGCATATGGTTACTGAACTGTTAGGCTGTAATTGCAGACACATTGCCCCTGGTTTTAAGCCACACACGGGTTTCTAAATCTCATGAGGTTTTCAGATAATTTCATCCATCTACCTATGTCATGTTTATGAGATGGAAAGAGGGATGACTTCCAAATCTTACTCTCCCACCCTCACTCTCCTACCTCTGATCAGCCCAGTATCTCCATCTGTCCTAGCCCCAGCTGGCACGCAACAGGAAAAATCTGCACTGTAAATCATCAAACCGTATCATACTTGTTTGATTCCTGTCAAAGAATTACCATCCTTTTTCTGAAATTGATTACCTTGGACAAATCCTGTCTCTTTGAAATTGATCTTTTCCAGATTATGCAGAAGCATTGCTGTTGCTTTTTATTGCTTTCCTTTCTTACCTTGTATGCTTAGAGTAGTGGTAGTTGAGGCTTTAGTTGATACCCATTTCCCCTTTAAGTTCTTTGCTGTATCGATTATAATTTTTTTTTCCTGTTTCATCTCAAAACTCTTTATAAAAGATTTGATAACTGTTCTTACATTCCTGCATTTATTTTTAGTTTATGGTATACATGCTTTCATTTCCTCCTACTTTTTATTTTCACTGCCATTTTCTTTTTCCTAAAACAGATCCTTTCTTTACAGAATCTGTTAGGAATTGATAGGTAAAAGTAGGATGGGAAAGGAAGAAGTAGTTAGTAATCATCAGGCATCTACTGTGTGCCTCCCACATTGCAGTGGGCATTATCCATACGTTAGCTCATGACTGCATGTCACAGTCTTGTGGAGTCATTGTTTTTACAGAGTGGGAAACTACTTGCCTTTTTATTATAAAAATGTAAATACCTTTAATACTTTTAAATACCTTGGTGTAAGTCATTTTTAAGTGTCAGGATTTCCTTGACATTTTTTGAGCTCTTTGAAATGAATACACAGGTGTGCCCATATGTTTTTATTATCATCAAAGACAGTATCAAATACCTACTTTATAAGAACAATAATATTTAATCCTATAAAAATCAAATGTGATCATTGAAATGTTTCTTGTTCCATCACAGGCGTAAGAAATTAGTGTTCAAAAACAGCATTCATTTTATTTTGTGTTTATTTTCTCTCTAGCCAGTTACTTTCAAAATTAGCATAGAAACCATAGAAAAGTTTATATAATTTGAAAAGTCTTCAGAATATTATAAAACTTTCCTGTGTAATTATTACATAAGCCTAGATGTTTGGTATGTCTGTCTCGGTTATTGGGGCACACAGAATGCTTACTTTGTGCTGGGCACCGAGATGGGTGCTTTCATGCTTGCAGCATAATGATCTGAAGAGGTAGGTATCCTTCATCCTTCTTCCTAACAAGGAAGGTGAGGAGTTAACTAGCTCAAGCTCACACAGTCAGAAAAAGAGTTAAAGGCAATAATACTGGAATCCTGAGAGCCACTGACTCAAGAGCAGTGAACTCTTTCCTGTCCAGGTCGGGAGTTCTATATGCCTCACAGAACTAGAAGAAGCTTATATGAAGAAAAAAATGGAGATTAGGAAGACTGTTAACTCCAAGAAAATACTTACAGATACTGAAATACAGATGGTCCAGTACATGCATACACATATATGTACATGCATAAACACATATATGCTTATATTTTATACACACACACACACATATATAAATCTATGTAGGCCTATATAACCTGGTATTTTATATGAACCAAAAGACTGTCTCTGATCAAATTCCTTATTATTTCAAGTGAATAATTTTTAAAAATACCGGATATCCATTATATGTTTCTAAAATTACTTTTCAGTCATTTGCACCGCGATGCAGTGGCACTGATTAAAATTTATGTATTATCTGCAATGTCAGTTTTTAATGTCCTATTTCTATTCTGTAAGCCATTGGTCAGAATCTCTTCAACTGATTTCAAGTATGAAAGTTTAAAAGTTTAAAAATCCTGCTGAAGTTTTTATCAGTTTTATAGGAATAAAAGTTAGGGGTGAGTGTTAATCAGTGGCCCTCTTGGAGAGGGTCTAAAAATATGTTTGCTTTTAAAAATCCTCAACACTCAGTGTAGAAAATATCTATCTCCAGTCTTGATTATTTTTCACAGACTGTCTCTTCATACTGTGTTTTGTTTATAAATGTGCTCTATTTACATTTTCATTATTTAATTAATATAAAAGCAATTAACTTATATTTTGTGTTTTTTAAACATAATCTAGATGAGGAAGAGGATGGCAAGACTCCAACTCAACCACTGTTGAAAAAAGGCAGGCATTTTTCATCATTTTATTTTAATCCCCTTTTTCATACTGTTAACTCTTTAACTCCAGCTCTGCTATTTTATTTTTTTTACCTGAGTTTTTATTTCCATGGCGAGGTGATGTTACAGTTATTTATTGAATGCAGATTAGAAAAAAAATCATCTGTAGTTTACCTAAAAAAATTAAGTCATCCCAGGGAAAGGTGGTATATCAAAGACAATTATTTTAAATCATTATAGCATTTCTGAAATACTCCAACCCTGAATGTCAGTATTACTTTTTTTTAATTTAAACTGCATGGTTCAGATGATAAGCAGAGACACTGAAATGGGTCTTTGCCAGTGTCACTCGCATTCTTTACCATCAGTTGTTCCCAGCCAAACCCTTAATTTTGATACTAATATATTTTTCATTTCAAAAATTACAATATTTCTCACAGCCCTGCTGCGTTTGGGAGATACACAGTCATGTCCCCGTGCATGACTTTTATGAGAAGGAGATAGAGGTGAGAGTTACGGAGCAGTGTGGTTTGGCAGCCATATTATGTCATCATGCAAAATCATTCGTTATGTTTGCGTGCATCGTGGCAGCATGAGAAGTGAATGACACATCCTGCAGAAGTGATCAGGTTTCCTCCTGTGGATTCCTGCTTTTAAAAATTTAGTGTAGGAGTCTCATAGTAGTCATTTGCTTGCTCATAGAGTCAGTGCTGATTTTTTTTTTTTTAATTTTTTAATTCCTGGGAATATAAACGGGAACTCCCTTGGTATTTCGTTCTTGAGACCTGCAGCAGATGGTGCCCTTCCAAGGAGTTCCTACCATCTTTCTGTGCTTCAAAGAAAGATGTGTCATTATATGGCTTTTTCTTTGGGCATCGCATACTGAGGAGACAAGTTAGGTCAAGATGAGGGTGTCCTTCTTTAGCCTGGGAGGTTTCACTGTGATAATCATTAGATTGTATTCATTTGTCTTCCACTTCCTTCTGTCTTTTATATTATTAATAACAACATTATGTGTAAGAAATTTCTTTGATCTTTATATTATTGAGGAACCACATTACAAAAGAAATATGTTCATGGAATAGGCATAAACTTAATTTGTCCAGTTAGCCTAAAATGGCTTCTCAGTAATTAAAATCTAGCAGTTACAGTTTTCTTGATTGGTATTTATGATTCTCTTTCATTCACAATGCTTCAAAGTATTAGAAATTATGCAAGATAATTTGGATGAGTTTAGCTCTTGTAAAGATATATTTATCTGTAACCATTTTTTTAAAGTACATTTAAATTTTAAACAACTGAAAGCTTATGATGGACTCCATATACAACTACCTGCATTTTAAGTACACAAAAGTTAGGAAACTATAGGAATTCAGCAAAAGGGACTTGAATATTTATCTCCCTTACATCTTATTTTTCTGCTTAATCCTTTAGAATCCAAAGGCCCTGCTGTGCCCTTAAATGTAGCTGACCAAAAGCTTCTTGAAGCTAGTACACAGTTTCAGAAAAAACAAGGAAAGAATACTATTGATGTCTGGTGGCTTTTTGATGATGGAGGTAAGGTTGTTAACATGCTTTTGAGCAATTTTACATAATACTGAAGTTGTGGGAATAGTACTGAGAAACGGCAGGTATGCTTCACTCCTAGACAACATTCCCCAAAGCAACAGGATTGATTTCAGAATCAGGTGTCAGGCTTAATTGTTATCTCTTCGGTGTCCTTCACTTTGGAAGTTGACTGGTTATTCCTTGTGCTCATGACCTTACCTTTTTTTTTTTTTTAATATGACCATTTTTAGAATGTCACTAGATTTGAAGTACCATTTGATCTTTCATTATAACTGGTTCAAGTTACGTCATTTTGGTAGAAATCTCACAGAAGTGATGCCTTGCTCTTCTGTCTATATCTCATCAGGGGGCACATGATGTTGATTTGCCTCATCACTGGTGAAGTTAACTGTCCACTCAGTAAGGTGGTTTTCACTAGATCTTGAGAATGAAAAGTGACCGTTTCCCCTTGTGTAGTTACACATATTAGGGGATGGGGAGGTACTTTGGGGTTATGTTAAATAGACCATTGTTACTGCAACCTTTACCACCCACCATCTTTAGCATCCACTGATAGTTTTGCCTCTTGTTACTGTTGGTGTGGTATGTTTGTGGTTGTCAAATGATGATTTTCCAATCCTGTTAATTCTTCCTCATTTATTAGTTGGCATTTTATTGTAAGGAAGAGCCTTCTCCTTATTTTTATCCTTGCTGATTCATCGATTCCCATTATATTCAGTAGGAGATGATTTGTCATTCTCACGATTTGTTTTGATGTTCACATTGTTCCCATATTTGCCCAGTGAGATCCTGTGGAGGCTAACTTGTATGTCATTTGTCATTTCCCAGTCGTTTTTTATTTTCTGATATAATGAGATGTTCTAGGCTCACTTTTGCGCTTTGCCTGCACCAGCCATTGAATCACCGTCTACCCAAGGAGCCCGGATTGCTTTTAGTGGAGAAGAGTATTTAGGAACAATGATCATGGCATTAAATAGGCTTGTTGCTGCTAGGGTGTCCCTGCGCCCCCAGGTCCTCTCAGTGGACGGGTCTCGGAAACATACATGTATGTGTTTGTACGTGTAGGTATAAATTGAAAATCAGTTCCAGTTCAACACTGCAGGCTTCAGTCCAGCTTCTCCCTTCTTGTATTTCTCATTTCAGTGAGAAACCTGGCCCCCATTTTGTTCAATGAATTCTCTCATTTCCTCATTGCTCCTGTATGTGACTGCTCTCCTAACTCTGCCGGGCCACTCTCCCCACCTCACCGCCTTCCTCACATAGCCCGACTCCGTTGGGCTGTCCTCTTTGTTCAGGCCTACCTCATGGCTTTTTGACTGAATTATTAAGGAAGGACAGAAAGAAAAATTGTGTTGGATACGGAGTTGTAGTAAACATGTTTTTAGAGATTAAATTGAATGAAAAGTTCTTACTTGAGAAATCAGCATCTAGTAAATGATTTTTTATATTTTTATGATTTAGGTTTGACTTTATTGATACCTTATCTTCTGACTACCAAGAAAAAGTGGAAAGACTGTAAGATCAGAGTATTCATTGGTGGGAAAATAAATCGAATAGACCATGACCGGAGAGCGTAAGTCTATTTAAATTGAAGAGCATTTATCTTATTACGGTATCTATTTCTATTTCATTATTACACTATAGTACAGTATATATTTGATAGGATAAAACAGACAATCCAGAAAATGTCAGTCATGTTGCCCTGTTCTCTACTGAAGCTAAAAATTCTAGTTAAATGGATAAAACCGCATTCTCTTTAATTTAGTCTTCATGTTTAAGTTGTGGGTACTTAGTGTTACTGATACCTATTATTTTTTACTATGTTGACATTTTAGAAAGTATTAAAAACTTGGAGCATTGGAATGTTAAGCACCTTTTTAAAACAAAATCAGGGGATGTGCCCCCAAATTACACATCCATATGTGAGATACATTTTGTAGACTTGAAGACAACAGAAACACAGGGTGCCATTTGTCACCCACTGTCTTATTTCTGCTGTGCTGTCACCATTCTAGTTCTGGTTCCAGCGCTTTGCTAAGTACCCTGTATCTTGTCTCTGACCTTTTCAGCATATATTGTACACACTGCTCCTGAGTTCACATTTGGAAACCAAAGCTCTGATCATATGATTCCTCTGCCCAAAGTACTTTTAATTTCCTCTCTGTTACATACCATAGAAAGTCTGTCGTGTTCCCCAACTCTGCCTTATACTTCATTTTACAATTCTGCACCTGCCCCAAATAAGCATGTGATTTCAGACTCATACTCCTTCCTACTTACAGTATAGTACAGTATATATTTGATATAGTACAGTGTATATTTGATATATTTCTCTACTAAAAATAGCTCTTCACTTGCCTCCCTTCTCTATGGCAATACCGCATCCTTTCACGTCCAGCATTGCTATCACTTTCTTCATAACACCTTCCCTCGTTTTTTTTTTTTTTTTACCCTTGTCTCCCCATAGTTGTTATCCGTCCTTCCTGAATAACAGGGTACTTGGTCCACTCATTGCATCCTGGAGCTCATTTTATATTTATTTTCATCTCTTAGATTTGAGTTTTGTGGGCCCTGACACATAGACACGTAGTAGATCTATAGTGGAATTCAGCGGAGTGTCCATTCATCTCAAACAAGAAGTATGCAAGAAATACTAGAAATAATTTAAAAGTTAAACCTGTAGCTGGTGTGTTTTCTAATTTCTTAATTTAGAAAACTCTTTTTATTAAAGATAGAATCCTATTTTGCTGACTTCTTTTCTTGTATGTATGTTTCCACTTTTCTGTTGTTGCCACCAAGGCTTCACAGCCAGCTCTGCCTCCAAAAAGGTGTTTCTTTCCTGAAAACTCAGAGGCTTACTGGAGCCCAGCACCCCCCCACCTCAAAAATTCTGTGAACTTCATTTGCCATCAGTTATAGCTTTAGTTTGGCCCCAAAAAGTCCTATTTAGACCTTGAGATACGCATTCTTCATGGGTGGAAGAATAATCCAAAAATAATTAAACCTCCAAGTGTTTACTAGTTTTTGCTGAAGTCCATATACTTACCAATATAGTTTGTCTAAAATAGTCTTTACTGAAGTAGAGCTGACACACAGTGTTCTGTTAGTTGCGGACGTACAGCATGGAGATTCGGTATCTCCGTGTGTCATGCTGCTCGCTGCAGATGGAGATGCCATCTGTCACCATGCAGCACGAGTAAATACCATTGACTCTCTGTCCCTGCTGTACCTTCCAGCCTCGAGGCTTGTTCGTTCTGGAACTGGAGGTCTGTTTCTCTCACTCCCCGTGACAAAAATTAAATTTAAAAACTAGTTGCCATTCAGATTTCATTATTAATGTCTTGCTCTACCCGTTCATTATTGGATACTAAGATGAGATTCAGAGAAAGTAAAAGAATGTAACAGGAGTCTCTACTCAGGGAATTTAGATGTCTACTTAGTTGAACATACAATGTGAAGTAATTCAGATGGACTTTGTTTAGCACCTGAGACAGTTTTCCTATAAATCATGCTTTTTCAGATATACTGATTCAGCCCGAAACAGAATAAAAATACTTACATACAGCTTTCGTGTATCTCAGTGCTATTCCTTTTGTTTTAGGATGGCTACTTTGCTTAGCAAGTTCCGGATAGACTTCTCCGATATCATGGTCTTAGGAGATATTAATACTAAACCAAAGAAAGAAAAGTAAGTTGTTGGATAAATTACTCTTCACAGATTTCTGATCCTTTTATGGGTGACCTACTCAGATATTCTAGTAACAGATCATTCTAAACTAATTACCTGGGGTTTTGCCTGCTATCAGTTATATGTGAAGTCAACTCTTTTTAATCTGGCACTGACGGTTGGCATGCTTACAGCAGATACCAAAGTAAGTCTAAAGGGCTTTCAAGTTTTCAGAGAATTCAACTACTGTTGTATAAGTAATTTCTGAAAATCCTAATGACACAGAAATTCCACATGGTTCTTTAAATTTCGATTTTTCATGCCTATCTTCATTACCACTACTCAATCCCTACCCCATCTGATGTATTACTTCTTACTATTTTGCTTTATTACTAAAATAGGAGAATCTAAGAATTTGCCTATAATAGTTGCGTTCAGAATTCTCAAGAGTCAAAGAAAAGTATACTCATGGAATAGTCCACCTGAAAATGGTATATAGAGGATATTATAATTATGTGCATATTTATACTACCAGGCATAATTTTAATTATTCTCAAATAAATGGTGAATAAATGATGAAGCTGGTATAAAGATTTAAATAGAAAATAATAAGGTATGCTTTGTAAGGTTATGGCCAGGGAAGGATTTGTTTCCTTTTATAAAATAATATATACCAGGAACTTTGTATGAGACTTGATACTGAAAAATGTTTTTCACATTCATAGAGGATTAGAATGTTTTTGATGTTCTTTTACTGTCTTATATCTTATTAAGTATCTTTGGATCTAGAGATTAATTCTGCATCTTCTTAAATCTTCAATATCTGCCCACTCCTCTCTTCAGAATATTCTAGTACCTTTTCTACTACTACTCCTGTTTTTCTTCATGGGTACTTGAACTAGGAACACTCTTGAGTATTTTGAGTAAAGGAGCAATACAATTTGACATATTGCTCAAAAGGATCATGTTAGCTACTGTAATGAAAATTTATGTAGGTTGAGGGGGGTGGGCATAGGAGCAGGGGGTAAATACAGAGAGGTGAGTGTGAGCACTTGAAATTGCAATTTTATTATTGTGAATACAGTTCTAAATTTCTTATCAGTTTGAGAAACTAGCGATTGCTGTTTTCTGGATAAGTTGCCGGAGTGATGGTTATAAATTAGGGTATGGAGATGAGCATATTTAATAGATGGAAAACACTTAACTTCTCAAGTTCTAATTTAGCATTTGAGATCTTAATGTTAAGGAATTGAAATTGAGGTTAACTGTCAGTATTCTTTCTGGGTTTTTGTTTTTGTTTTCTTAAAGTATTGTAGCTTTTGATGAAATGATTGAGCCATACAGACTTCATGAAGATGACAAAGAGCAAGATATTGCAGATAAAATGAAAGAAGACGAACCATGGCGAATAACAGACAATGAGCTTGAACTCTATAAGACCAAGGTATTCTGTCTCTTCTGCTTTTCCTTAATATTCCATTGATTTTTTAAAAAAAATAAGGAAGACATAAATATCAAGAACTGTCATTTGTTATGGGAGGAACCAGTTGTGTAAATTCAGTCTCCTCTAAGTTGGGTCTGTATGTGAACAGTGTGTATAAATCATTAATTCTTTTCTAAATTAGGGGACAGATATTTTTATTACAGCAAAATTCTTCTGGTTTCTTTTTGTTTACTTATAGTTCTATGAACTACACTAAATTCTGCTTTTCAAATGGTCCAGGAATGAGTTTGTCCTGTTTTATTTCAGACTTACCGGCAGATCAGGTTAAATGAATTATTAAAGGAACATTCAAGTACAGCTAATATCATTGTCATGTAAGTACTGTCTATACTAAGATTTTCTTGAGCATTCATTTTATGATGATGCAATTAGGATCGATTTCTATATCAAGTACAAACCTATATAAACCCCAGTAATGACTTAACAGTTAGTTATAAGGAAGAAAAAACAAACTTCTGTTAATACACTTTGCTTTAAGCATATGGAGAAATCATTTAAGGTAGGAGGAGAGAAAAACAAAAATCTTAAGCTTGTATGAATCTAAGTAATTCTTTATCATAATAGTTTATTTTGGAATTTTTCCTTTATCTTTTTTCCCACCTTTTAAAAAATTCCTTGGCTTAAAGGACACGACAGCATAGCTCTTAAGCCTATGTGGGGTATGAGGGCCTCAAGTTAAAATTTGGACTCTGGGGTGTGAGGTGTGGGACACCTGGCTGGCTCAGTCAAAGCGTTTGACTCTTGATGTTGGGGTCATGAGTTCGAACTCCACATTGGGGGGTAGATTGTACTTCAAATAATAAAAAATAAAACCTTAAAAAAAGAAAATTTGGACCTTGGGCAACATCCTCATAGAAATGATACCATCAAGTTAACTTGGGGATTAAATTTAAAAAATGGTTCCCGTCAGAATCTGCACCCCCGTGTTTCCACACACAAACTTGACAGACAGACACTCTGTCCTCCACTGGATATAGACGCTATCTGGCTTTTCTTTCACTAAAGTCAGATTAGCTACATATTACTTGAGCCCAAATTTTCTCCGTCACGGAGCCGCAGTCCTTAAATAGGTTTAAAAAAAAAAAAAAAAGCTCAGGCCTCCAAAAATATGACAAATGATGAAATAAAGCAATACCAAAGGATTGTTATTTTGATTAACAAAAAACAATACAGCAGGAAATTTCAAGTTTTGCTGCTGCTGATCAGATATTTGTAATGGAAGATGTTAAAACATAGAAATCTAGAGAGAAACACTGTAGAGCGGCTGGTTAATACTACCACTATGTACAGATAAAAATGAAAGGAGAAGATAGGAGATGGAGGTTTAAAATTAATACATAGAATTAATTATGTTTGAATCTCATTTATCCATGTGTGGTTTCTGCTTTCTTAATTTAGGTAGAAACATCCCTTTCTCCTAGAAGAAGTCTGCCCTTATTGAAGAAGGGGGGATGGGAGGTTTAATGTTAGAGACCAAATGTGTTGCAGATAATAGAAATATTCATTTCTGTTCTTATTAGATGAACTTTTAAAAATCTTTTGTTCAAACATGAAAAAGGGGGAATAGTGATATGAGCATTGTCATTGCTACACCATGTTCACAGTTTGCCTGCACTCCAAAATAATGTATAACCACGGTACTTTTTAGTTACTATTATTAGTGACTCAATATACAATTTTTATTGTGTTTTATTTTTTTCAACTTAAATGCATTGCCTAATTTCCTTTCTCTTTTTGATACCAGGAGCCTTCCAGTTGCCCGGAAAGGTGCTGTGTCTAGTGCTCTCTATATGGCCTGGTTAGAAGCTCTCTCGAAGGACCTACCACCAGTTCTCCTAGTCCGTGGAAATCATCAGAGTGTCCTTACCTTCTATTCCTAAATGCCTCAGTACAGTGGACAGCCCTCCAGGTGGTACTTGAGTGCCTAGTGAAGTCACTGAAATCTTCAAAGACACATTAACATCACAATGGCGAACTGTGACTTTTCTTTCACCTTTTCATTAATTTGAAAGCACACAGGGAAGTTGCTCCACTGATATGTGTATGGAGACTTCAGTTTTAATCAGTTCTGTATTTCAATCTTAATGAATGATGATGATTCCTTGTTGTTGGACTGAAGCTCACAAGAGTAAAGTTTTCCTTTGCTACTTGAATAGCAATAAAAGTGTGTTATTTTGTGATTGATGAAAGGAGTACAAAAAGCCTTTAGCCTTGAGGTGCCTTCTGAAATTAACCAAATTTCATCCATATATCCTCTTTTATAAATTTATAGAATGTCAAATTTTGCCTTCAGCTGTCATTTTCGTTTCTGGTCTCTCCCACCTTAAAATGAAATGGACACCGCTTTTCTTCTTCCATTGACCAGTTAGTGTTGAGTACTGTATGTTTTCTATTACTTTTATAAAGGTATCTGTTAGATACTAAAGGTGAGAATTAGGGCAAGTTAATGAAAAATGCAAAAAAAAAAAAAAAAAGCCAACAAAACAAACAAAATGGTAGCCAAAAAGTGACCCCAAGGTTAGGTTTGTATGGGTACATATAAAATGTAGATGTAGGGACAAAAGACCCAATAAACCTTTCTTTTTTTAAAATCTCTAATTGGCTGTTATTTGTATTTTTATTTGAAATCTTAGGGAAGGTTGAAAACTTATTCAGTACTTCTGTATACCAGGCTGAAAAATCCCCTGTTGTCATTCTTTAGACCTAAGTCCTCAAAATCATTTGTATCTATTAGAAGAGCGATCTGTCCTAATTTATAGTTTTCCTCAAATCTTGAGGGACTTTTAAGAAATGCTAAAAGATTTTTCTCAAGGAAAATTAGACAAAGCAATGTCATTAAGTGGAATATTTCAATAAACAATATGTGGAATTCCACTGTACACATCCTTTATAAATCATTAAAATATTTAGCGTTTCATCAAATGGTTAAATGGACCACTGGTTTCTTAGTGAAATGTTTTTAGGCTTAATTCATTCAATTGTCAAGTACACTTAGTCTTAATTAATATACTCAGGTTTGAACAGATTATTCTGAACATTTAAATTTAATCCATTCTTAATACTTTAAAACTTTTTTGTTAAGAAAAACTGCCAGTTTGTGCTTTTGGAATGTCTGTTTTGACATCATAGTCTACTAGTAAAATTTTGACAGTGCGTACGTACTGTTACTAAAAGCTTTATATACAATTATTAATGTGAAGTTTTTCATTTTTTATTCAAGGAAGGATTTCCTAAAAACATTTCAAGGGATATATGTCTACATATCTGTATGTGTGTATGTATGTGTGTATGCATACACAGATGCATATGTGTATATATAATGACATTTATGTTGCTGGTTTTTTGCATTTTAAAGTGATCAAGATTCATTCGATTAACATTTTTTGATTTCAGTAAACATAAGTTCAAAATTAGATTGAGAGAGACAGGTTTCACGGAGAACAAAGGTGATCATCTGAAGGGCATGTAACTTCACACAGTTACTGTTCTGAGAAATGGAGAACGCATCCTCTGCAGTACTGTTCAGTGAGTTCATTGGTATACATTTTGGTGGTGAAGAATATATGCAGATTTCATGAATCTTGATAGATATCATTAACGTCACTATGTTGCCAATAGTGCAGTATTTTTGCTGTGTGAGCATAAACAAAATGAATAGAAAAGTGGAGATCTGATGATATTTTTGAATTCAGAACATTAAAATGAAGTAATTGTTTTTCCAGGTTTTTTTTTTTTTTTCCTACAGTGTAACTCACAGCATTGTTCCATTTATTGCAGGTTTTGTAGTGTTTTGGGGGAAAGACAGTAGAAATGTCATATTATTCAGTAAACAATACCGTGTTTGAACTTTTTAAATGGATAATAGGGCATGAACTGAGTGCTGCTATCTTGAAATGTGCACAGGTACACTTATTATTATTTTTTTTAATTTTTCCCATTCAGGAAACCATCATTGTGATCTGTACTGCAGGAACCAAATGTCATGCATCATACATATGTGTATAAAGTACATAAAATATATCTAAATATGCATAATGGGGGGAGGGTAATATTGTCTGTGAAATAATGTAAGAAGCTTTTCACTTAAAAAAAAATGCATTACTTTCACTTAACACTAGACACCAGGTCAAAATTTTCAAGGTTGTTGTAGTACTCTAATAAATTTCAACAATTCTTAGAGATGCTAGCTAGTGTTGAAGCTATTCTAGTTTATTTTGTTTATGCTGAATTTGATTATTTTAATGCCAAATTTTTTTTTTGAGTTCTAATCATTGGTGATAACTTGGAAATAAATATGTAATGGCATTTGACAGTTCATTATTCCTATAGGTAAATACTTATTGGGTTTAGAGAGAATGGTGGTGTTAAGCTGATGATTATTGGTTAATTAAATCAGATATTTATTTGTTACATTATTTCGTTTGTATTTTAGGTTTCCTTTTACATTCTTTTTATATGCTTTCTACATTACATATTTTTAAAGACTATGGAAATAATTTAAAGATTTGAGCTCTGGTGGATGTTTATCTACTAAGTTTGAAAATGTAATATTTTGATAATACTGTACTATAACTGTCACACAAATGCTTTTCTAATGTTTTAACGTTGAGTATTGCAGTTGCTGCTTTGTACAGAGGTTACTGCAATAAAGGAAGTGGATTCATTAAAACTATTTAATGTCTACTATTTTATCTGTTTTATAAATCTATGGCAACTTTGTGATGTACCCTCGGTTATATAACTGTTATTTCACAATGTCGGAGTTTTTTAGTGGCTTTTACCTTTAATATTCCTGCCTTAGAAAGTTGTTTGAAATTGTACACTATCCCTAAACCTTTGAAAAAGTCACTATTGATATTTGACAGTGGATTGAACCATAGAAGATACAGCTCATTTTGATTTTTTTTAAAAAAGTGATTTTACTTTTCTAATTCTTTTTACATTATTTTTGGGCCAAATCATGCATTTAGGAATGAGGATACTAGACTAAAATGGATCCGTAGTCCCTGTCTTTTCTTCAGAAGATTTTTGGCTAAGCTGACTTACAGTTTTATAAAACATTTTCACTTTCTCATTTGAACATTATAGTAAGTGAGGACAGTTATATATCCAGGACAGTTACTTTTCTCTCTCTTACTCTTGGGAAAGCAACTTGGAGCAATGTAGGGAATTTTCTGAGGTCATGTGGTAAATCAGTGAAGAATGTTGGCCCAGAGCCCAGATCTTTCATCTCCAGGGATATCTCTATTACGCACTCACTGCTGCCTGATCCATAACTGAGAGGGCTGGGATAGACTGGCCATTTCCAAACTAGTCATCCAATATTGCTAGTGAGTGTGTGCTCAGGTAATGCGAATTCCAATTAGAAATAGATTGGCTACAGGCTGGCTTAATAGATCTGAAACGAAATGTAAGTGTCCATTGCATGCTTTTTGCTTCTTGCTTCTTTTCCAATAATCCTACTCTTCAGGCTAGTGACTTCTTTGGGGAGTTAAAAGAGAATTCAAAGGCAGCTATGAATGTGGCATTTCCTAATATCAGAGCATCCAGTGGTTTTCAAAACAGGGATGGAGTTCACCTTCCAGCCAGCAGGTATTTTTGGTTCCTTCACCAGGAAGAACAGATAAATGCCTCTGATACAATTCTGTCTTTACGTATCAACAGGATGTTTGTAGGTTCAGAGCAAATAGGTGGTAATTTAATGCTTGACTGTTTGAGTAAAGATGGCACAAATCCTGGGAAACACTCATCAGAAAGTACTGTTTAGTTTAGCTAGTTTAGGTAGTAGATACACAGAATGTTAACCAGCTGTTATCCATTGTTAACCAACTTGACATACTTGTTTTTGTAGACAACTAAAATACCTAAAGATCTAAGTCCTGTTGCTCTTTATGGAATCTGGAGGCAGTGCTCAGAGACCTCTTTCACACGTGATAGCCATTTCAGGTAGGCTATTGAATGGGAGCATTAAGAACTTAAGCCCATTTTCTCCTCTTGACTCTAGCTTTGAATTTTGTGTTAGACAAGAGTGAGCAAGTACTGTTTTAGGGAAAATGTGAAGGCCTCTGAATCGGTCCCGCCCTGCTGTGCAGCCTTACTCAGGCAGGCTCTAAGCCTAGATCAGGAACTCATCCCCCAAAACTAGCGTCGTGTCCACACATATCCTTTGTTCCACTCTTCTCAGATACGAATGCAAATTACCAAGATGTTCCGACCATAGCTGCAAAGGAAAATAAACTGTACTTTTTTTATCCACAGCATAGGATCAGTGATCCGTGGACACTGAACGCAAACATAGAGGCCCGTGACTCAGTACTGGTCAGAATCTCACTAGATGACTGCTGAAGCTTTGGGGCTGGGGGGAGAAACATGGAGATTCTGTCCTGGAAGCGTTCGCTTAGCCAGTCTGATGGGAAGCAGTTTACAGGGCCATTTTATGTCTTTTTTTTTTTAAGTTAATGGTCTTTTTTTATTGGAATAAAAAGACTAGCATTTACAACTTGGAATGGACGTAAATTGTAATTTCTTGATCAGCAGTGTTGATGGGTGTGCTGAAGTCCACATCCACAGCCTACTCTGCTGGCTCCAAGTCATGGTTCAGGAGGTTTTAGAAACGAGAGTCCCAAGATGCTCCCTTGGTAAAGGTTTCTTTTTAAAAAAAAAAATTGTGTGAATGGTGACAGCCTGACACCCATTTCACTTTAGGACAACGTGGACAACGCTAAACCAACACACACGGCATGCCACCGGGATGAGTGTCATGGTCACCATGGGTGGGGGCGCCCGGAAATACGAGAGGGCCGTCCTGCTAAGTGGGGCTACGTCTAGACTATCCTTCACCCATTTTTCTGCACAGCATCCTGAGGTAAACCAATTTTAAATGTTTTGTTTTCAGTAAACCAGCTATGACAATTTATACTAACAAGTTGAATTAGAACACATTTGAAGAAGTTTTAAATTTGCTTTTTACATTTTTCGCTTTTAATACAAATGCCTGACTGTGCTCAATTGTCAAGCTGCTTGCATGAAAAACTGGCCAGCCCAAACAGTGTATTAATCATGAGCAAATGGAACTGCAAGGAGTCCACTAGGTGCTTCCTTATCATTAAGGTAGTACAAGTATTTATATCGTAGAACTGATGTGTAGCTTGATCTCTAGGGGACAGGAACACCAACCAATACTTGCAGATTTTGTGTGGACAGAAGGTACTTTTGACATTCAGTTTTGCTATACAGAAACAGAATGAGTAAATGAACTTTTTTTTTTGCAAGAGGCTAAGTAAAAGATTCAATCTGATTCTTCCAGAAGGGGGGAAAGGAGTTGAAAGTAGGCCCTCATTTGGCACTCATCATCTGTACAAATTCTTCATAGTTGACTTGCCCATCTCCATCAATATCTGCTTCTCTGATCATTTCATCTACTTCTTTATCTGTTAGTTTTTCTCCCCTGACATGACGTAGCTCCGCCGCGCTGACGTGACTGTTGCCATCCTTGTCGAAGACTCTGGATGCCTTGCGAATTTCTTCTTCACTGTCTATATCTTTCATTTTTCTAGCCATCATAGTCAAAAATCCTGGGAAGTCAACGGTGCCATTACTGTCGGCATCCGCCTCGTTGATCAGATCCTGCAATTCAGGTTCTGTTGGGTTCTGACTCAGTGACCTCATGACTGTTCCAAGTTCCTTTGTGGTGATGGTGCCATCGCCATCTTTGTCAAATGGGGAGAAAGCCTCCTTGAACTCTGCAATCTGTTCTTAGGTCAGCTGATCAGCCCGGGTGCGAGCGAAGGGAAGAGGAGCAGAGGGAGCGAGGGCGGCTGCACCAGCGCGGGGGCTGTGTGGGCGGGGCGCCTCCGCTGCCCCCGCGTGCCCACGAGTAAGGGCGCCGCGCCCGCGGGGCTCCCAGCACCACTGCCCCATTTTATGTCTTATATCTCTAATAACAGATAAACCAGAAAAGTTTTAAAATTAAGCCGACAGTGTTCTTGATTTACGTACGGTTACACATCAAGGCATATTAACTACTTCCGTGAAAGACGATTTTACTTGCTCTTTTATACATACATTTAGCCCCCAGTTAAGCCGTTTTTGTAGGGGGTGGTCCGAGTTTGAAAAAGAAGCTATAGGAGTTTATCTGAATGACCAATAAGCCACAGGTTATTTTTATTTTATGCCCTCAGCATTTTTGCTGAAGTCTAGACAGCTCTCCTTCGGGTTCCTAAGAAACTTCACTAAATTTAAAAGATGACAGGGATAATTTGGGAAAGGGGGGGGATGGGTGGAAAGTTAGGCTCCAAGAAAGATTCAAGGATTGTGAAAGATCGGCCTCTTCATGGCTAAAAGTCTTGCACTCATACTTCCTTCTGGGAACCAGTGGATGGTGAAGAATGGAATTAATTTTTTTCCCCGAATTTTAAAATCCTTTGATCATAATCCGCATCTATGAGCTACATGGTACCAATCTCAAAGGTATACCCTACATCCTTGAGGCAGACTTTTGTGACTTTCCCATCAGTGAAGATAATCCTTTGTTTACTGTCTATGCACCTGTGAGTTCAGTGTTATTGTCATAAATTTCACACACGGGCTTTTTTCAGAAAGTTGATAGAACGAAGCACAGGTGTATTATGAACTGAAACACTAACTAGAACAGTGGTGTGCTTCAGAATCGCCTGGAGAGCTTGTTAAACCCTACCGTCCTCCTGCTGAATCTCTGTTCTGAGTGAAATTCGTCCCCTTCACATCCGCTGCTTCTCAGGATAACCTTCCCTTCTCTACGGCTGCCTGGGTCCTTCGCGCACGACCCACCGCCTTTCTTCCACAGCCACACGTAAACCCATCTCCCCTCAGGCCGGCTGTGAGCTCAAATAATGAGCTCCCCTCCAAATTCCTCATGTTTTTCCTTGTACATTAATCGGATGGTTGTCAGTGGCAGGAACAGAACCCAGAGCCGGCCAACAGAAAATGGAAGGCCAGGGAGACAGCTGAGGGCAGGGACTCTGAAAGCAGAGACTCAGGGCAGCGTCCTCAGGGCTCCGTCTCTCGACCTTTCCTCCTCTGCGGTTTGCCTCTCTAGGCTTGACTTGACTCTCCAGGTGGACTGTCACCACGGAGAGTGCTCAGTGGTGAACCACTCAAGTAGTTCGGCCGCAACTGTAGTGGAAAGATGGTATGTTGGCAGCAGGAGTAACCCCGTGTACGTCAGGGGCCATCCCTTCTGCCTTGGGTTTGCCCTTAGAGTCTGGGGTTTATGTGGCCCGGGACCTGAGGGAAGGGCCTCGGACGTTCGTTCTGCCCCGTCTGGCCGATGCTCCAGGGCCTTGGCTGCCCAGGCTCCAGCAGTTGATTCCGAGGTGGACAGCTCTACAGGCCAAACCTAAGCCGCCACCACCTTTACTAGGTTCCCAAAGCTCTGCAGCTCAACACTTATTATCTGTTCCTTCCCCACTCTCCAGCCCAGGTCAGCAGCCGCACAGCCGTGCCCAACTCAAAGTGTGCGCTCAGAGGGCACTCGGCAGAGCATTCCTGGCCCCCTCGTCCGTGGCAACTCCATCCGTGGCACCTGTTTCGTCTTTTCTCCTTAGGGTGGTATCTCTCTGGAACTCCCACCCACACCACGGGGCAGGATCTCCCCAGCCCTAGAATAAGAACCAGCTCTTCCTTGATGAGTCT